CTGACTTTGAAGTAAAAATCAATAATAAATTACTAGAATACCCCATTGAACGTTCGATGACATTACATAAGATTACCGTCATCCTACAAGTTTCATGAAATATTGTAAAGTGACAATGGTCGTATGAAATTATATCCCAGTGCCGGATCTATTACGCTAACAACTATATAGGACCATTAGGACATCAAGATTGAGTGTTCCCTCATGTCCACAAATTCTGAATGGGAACCCAAGCGTGGTCAGAGGACCTGATGCCCTTCGCAAAAATAAACGTATTCCAGCTTTTTTTACATTATTGACGTTATATTAATCAAATATATGTCTAAGCGGGGCTCTAACCCTTTTCAGATCTTTTTTAAAATTCTCTATGTACATGAGTCAAGTAAGGTAATTGAACCTTACACCGTTCGCTAAGTTCAATTCAAGTACCTTATCTAGTTGTTCACAAGGACATATAAAGGAATTCATTTTTATGGTGCTTCTTAGGCAGGGAAAATTTTCATAGGTGCTTTCGCTCATTTACCTTCTAATTTCTTTTTGATCCAGGATATAACCGTGTACCACTTCTTTCGTTTACTTGAAAATTGCGAAACTTTATGGGATGCGCTGCGTTCGCCTATCATCATTGTAGTAGTCAGTTTTTAACAAGGCAGACAAAGGAAAGGGGCACTATATATTTCAAATACTTAGGGCATTCAAGGTACATAAACATGGAAAAGATTCATCCATAACTTACTTAACTATTATCATAAATATTACAACTTTGTTCAGGTAGTATTCTTTATCCAACTACTTCAAACAAAAAGAAACATTTTTGCAAATTAAAATACCGACCTACATCAAACTAACTGTAGTTGAAGTTGTAAACTTCGTACTCTACATTATTGGAACATCCCTGCAAGTTACGAGTATGTTTCAATAAGCCAATGATAGCCATAACTTACTGATCAAATTAAGACCGAAAGCAATGATTTTTTTTTGCGTGTCACAGGTCAGGTCTTAAGTGGGCAGGTCACACTTCTCGGAAAACGTATTCCAATCATCAGTTTCACAATATTTTCGCCTAATTAGGTAAAGAGCCCTTTCTGGGAAATGAAGAGGATGAGATACACTTGATATTAATTTCCTTTACAATTACGACATCCTTTTCTCATCAAATCTCCAAAAGCAACATGGATTGTTTGCTCAAACGCTCAAGCTATGAATTCGAGGTCCTTGGTTTCCTGCTAAGCGGCTTAGCAGTGCCTTAATCAGATTACGTGTTCAAGTGGTGTCCTAGTCATCTCCTACTGTAATTACTCTCCGCTTTGTTACGTTGATTAATAGAGGTCTGTGCAACCAGGCCCGTCGCAGGCAGCGTGTCACAATTTATAATATATATATTTATATATAGGTACTGTTTCAGTAACTAATATGCGGTTGTGGTAACCGAAGTACGCCTGTACAATACCGGGAATCGATAAACTATTTTAAAATTGCTCCTGTTCTTTCCAATAGAGTGTAAACAAAAAGGCGCAATGATACGTTCCAATATTTAGCTTAATTTTTTCTACGTATTTATTTAATTTGGTGAATTTATAGACACATGGGACTTTTCAACTTATGTCTCAGTCTCAGGGGAACAAGGGAATTCCTTTTTTTCCTGTACGGCTCGCGCACCCTGGGCAAAAATCGGCGATTGGCACATCCTTTCACCACGACAGTAAGCATTATAATTAGTGTATGCCACCTTATCTACCACCAGGTGCACGACTGGTTCGTCCAACAAAAAATGGTAACATAAAAAACCAGAAACATAACATTTCAGCGTTCACTCGTTCAGTGTTTTGATATCCCAAAGTATATTTATAATATTGTACTTACATTTTTGCTCGTTCATTACAATATTTAGCTTTATTTACAATAAGTACCTATTTTATGTCATGTAATGTTAATCTCCACGTGAGATTACCTACAAATGTACAATCAAATACCGGCAGTTTGCTCCCAGTTTCCACACAAAGCACCCGCATGCCCAGGAATTGAGGCATCTCTAATTCTATTTATCATTCTGTAGAGTCCATACATTTCCACAGAGAAGTTACATACTATAATTTCAAAACGTTAAATACCAAGTACTTTATTCCTCTTCTATGTTTAAAAATGTATAGTATCAATTTAATTTCTACCTGTACGTACCTTGGATGCAAAATAATACCTAGAATTCTTATAACAGCCGTATAGACATCGCTTCAAAATATCTAGTCAGACCAGAAGGACGATCTCTGATAAACACGCTTCGCTAGCTCTCGATTCTATTCATCGAAATATATATTCTACGGTAATATATATTTATGTATAAAATATGAATTATTGATACTTTACTTACAGTAGGTCCCCCTATACAAAATCACTACGAGCTTAGATAAAATATACACTGAAGCACCTACACAGGATCCATACAAATATACACTGAAACACCTACATAGGTTCCATACATATTGTCTACGTACGTACCGACCGACCTACAAATAGTCTGGCAAGCGAAACCAAATCAATAACTCAGAATTAAAAACAATTTATCAAATTTCCAATCAAGAGTTAATTTCGCATGGAGTGCCAAGGGTAGGCTGTAAAGAGGCGTTCAGTGGGTAAGTGAATTTTCCTTTATTAGATGAGTTAACGAATTGGAAATGTGAACCTCAAAGCCTTTGCGTAACCCTTTGTGTACCTTACAATGTTTTGAATGAGAGGAAGGAACAAATTCATATGTACCCTTTTTCATGAAACTAAAAGGTGTTCACTGAGACAAAAAACGATCAACCTATCACCATTAACGTTTCATACAAATTGGGCAACGATTTTACTTGTATCGTCAGCATTTTATGGTTTCGGTAAGTAATTTACGTATGCATACCTACATCGTTTTTTATATTATGGCAATAGAGCTTTAACTTTTGCCAATGTCAATTTATTAAAAGGTAGGGAAACAGGATGTTACTTTTTTGTTCACTGACAGGATTTTAAGGAAAAAATTTGAAAAGTCGCGTGATTTGGAAAAAAGAGATCACAAGAGTTGCTATTTATGTATTATAGATATAATAAAGTATATACATATTAATCATATTTTAATATCATTATCAAGGATAAAGAAAGACAAAACATTATAGTAGGTATATAGACCTTACCTTACGTATTATGGAGTCTTGCCATAAAACTAATAAAATTATTTAAGTAGAAAAGTCAACTAAGAACTAAGAAAGCAAAGTTATTAAACGGGAGCGGAAACCTTACAAAATAAATGGAAAATTCTGCTTTTATAAATTAACATTTCCGATACGTAATCAGGGTGTTGCCGGGTTTCACTGAGGTAATTGTTCAAGAGGCTGTAAGAGGCTAATTTGAGCTTAAATTAATGGTTTAATTATTTAGCCGTACATAGTAACTCGACTTAGAATTTCAAATCACCTTTTAAATGTTTGCAAGATTCGACTTCATCGTTCAGCGGTTTTTCTCATTTATTAGCTGCTTTGTAGAATACATTAATGAAAACAGTTGTCAGCTGGTTCGTATACGCAATAAGGTTGCTACCCGCAGTTGGAATGCGTACCTACTAATATAATGATATAATCCTGCCATCATTTTAACCTTGTGGATTTTTAGTGCACAATTTTCAGCATAATTAGAAAGACGATAGGACCAGTGATAACGCGGTGGTGGTGATGGTAAAGAAGTATTTAAAAAGAAATTTACCAGTTACTAAACTAGTTACAATCAATTTACCTATTGTTTTACTAGTATACTACTTTTCTATTAATTTCTTTATAACTTCCTGTACGCAATAAATACGGAAATAAATAATAGAAATAACACTTTGACAACTTAACGAAACACTCGAAAATAGAACAGAAAATTAATTAAAACGTCGTTCGTGTCTCAGCGAGAATGAGCTCGAAATCTCCCCAGCAACGAATGGGCAGAGGCAGGCAGTAGTTAACAAAACAAAATGGCTCTAGAGCTCGAAACAGGCACTGAGTTATGTTACGCTTACTGACCCGACACTCGTTTATTTGGCAGAATCTATTTTGTAGATTATGTTATAAAAAATGTACTCATATACATTTCTCGCTAACAAAAAGTTTTCAAAGTATATTTACTCCACTGTTATTATGCAAACTTAACACTGTCGTTGTCGCATTGTTGCCACATACTTACAAATATGGGTAGTAATTTTTAATTTTATGTAATACATTTTAGGGGTTTAAAATACCAAAATACAATTTGTTTTATAAATATAGAACCATCTGTCTAATTCATTCATTTTCTTCCAAAAACTACTACCAATTTAAATTCATAAAACACCAGGCCCCGTAGCATGGCTACGCATGATAATCGCGACGCGCGCGATAAAATTGAAATAAGTACTCGCTATTGGCTGTCGCAATCAGATCTAATTTAGATAGCTAATAGCGCGCGCTTATTTCAATATTATCGTGCGCGTCGCGACTATCATGCGTAGCCATGCTACGGGGGCAGATATTCATAAAATGTTGATAAAAGTGTTAAGGTTTAATGATTTCCGAACATTAAATCTATAGCGAACAAAAAGACTGCCGACTGGAGGAAATGACTAGGAAATGAAATTTCCCCACTAGACACTTTATACAGTTTCTGGAAACTGGTATACAGGTGCAATAGTTAAACAACGCATTTAATCGAATTTTATAGATCGTGGTTTCGTAAAAAGCCAACATAAGTAAACTTCTGTTTATTTTCCGTCGACAAAACTGGTGAGTTGATTGCTGAGCACGTAACAAGCTGTCGACAACAAACTACTTATCTAAATTAAATCTCTTGATCCTGTTGCGGCGAGAAACTGTTTCCGGACTTTGGCCTATTTTCTGGTTCGCTATAAATCTCTGTTCATTTTTGGTAGAAAATTAAAACGGTAGATAACTAGAGTAACAATTTTTATTAGCATTTGAAATATTATTATTATGAATTATAATTTATAATATAGCACGATACATTATTGTACAATATTGCAGTCAACATAATGCATGTAAATGTCCTAAATCATGCATATCCAATTTTTCATCATTGTAGCGATTGAGTTGGGTGCTAACTGCCACATATGCCAGTGTAAAGGCATTTACACAATAAATAGAGTAATTGTCAGCTCAATCAAGTATTATAGATATCTGTAACCAGACCAGCGGCTATCGTAACACCTGCAACACGTAGCATCACGCGTCCGAGTTCTTTCACATCCTTATACCTTTCAATGCAGATAGGTCTGCATACTTTAATGTTCACAACTGCAACTGAGTTCTTGCCTAAACACCGAGGATTCTTCTTCACTAACTCTCCAGTGCTTTTACTCAACAGAGCCTTCAATTTAACAATATTTGCAGATTCCACCAAGGACTGATGATGTATGAGTACAGGAAACCCTTTTGTGATAGGAACTTTTATGTTAAAAACCACTAGTCTAGCCTCAAACTTTGTACAGACGGGCACCTGTTGTACTGGGTCACTCAATATGTATCCCACAGAAACATTTTGCATGTCTATCCCTGATAATGTCACACTGACTTGATCACCAGCAAAGGCAACATTATGAGACATGTCATTAATGCTTATACTTCTAACTTCTGCCATTTCCTTTGTTGGACATACAAGAACTTTATCCCCTTTATTCACTATTCCATTTTCAATTCTACCTGCTACACAAAATCCTGAGCCAGTACCTTTAAATATGTCATTAACAGGCATCCGGAAAGGCTTTGCTACAGGTCTCAGAGGCACCTTAAATTTGTCTATAACATCTAATAAACAGGGCCCACTGTACCACTTAAGCAATTCAGGCTCACTGGGAGGTTTCACTAAGTTCTCTCCTGTAAGTCCAGAACAGGGTACATAAGTCACATCAGTGTCTTTAAATCCTGCCTGCTTCAAAAAAGCTTTCAACTTTGTTACAATTTCATTAAATCGCTCCTGCAACCAATTGCTTGTGTCGAGTTTATTTACTGCTACAGCTAGTTCCTTTACACCAAGAGACCTTACAAGCAATGCATGCTCCCGTGTTTGACCACCAAAATCAAATCCTGATTCAAACTCTCCCCGTGTAGCATCTACAACTAATAGTGCAACATCAGCTTGTCCAGCTCCAGTTATCATATTAGGAATGAAATCTGCATGTCCTGGAGCATCTAAAATTGTAACCTTTTTGGTCTTTGTCTCAAACTGGGAACGGCCTACATCCATTGTGATCCCTCTAACTCTTTCTTCTCCAGTTTCATCCAAAACCCAAGCATACATGAAACTCTGTTTGCCAATTTTTTTACTCTCTTGTTCATACTTATGCATAGTTTTTTGGCTAACTTCCCCAAGTTCACAAAGGAGACGTCCCATAAGAGTAGATTTTCCAGCATCAACATGTCCTATAATTACAATATACAGATGGTCCTTCTCGGATCCTCTTTCTTTTGAATATAGTTTATTAGGATCTACCTTATTTTCCCTCACCTTCACACTTACTTTACTTTCATCAGACTGTTCTAGCTTTGGAGAGCTTATCCTTTCCATTGCAGGTGACAAATCTCTTGGAGTATGTGGCTGACTACTGGAACTCCCATCTTGTTGTATTTTAAAACCTTTGATGACACCTATGCCTTTAGGCTCGGTATTACTAGCAATAACTTTAGGCACTTCCACTTTATTTGTTGTAATAACTGGGGCTTTGATAGGATCAACAACAACCAGAGCAGATTTTACCAAATCTTCCTTGGGTTTCCCAGGTTCTTTTCTCTCAGCTTTATTCAAAATCTTATCTAAAGCTTTGTTAAAATCAAAATTATGATCCAACACTGTTTGTATAAGGATGTTATCTGATACTGTGTCGCCTAACACATTTCGTAGCTCGTCGAGACAAGACATAAGTTTGACTTCATCTTCCTCTTGCAGATTGAGGCTACGCAAATCCACAGACTCACGACGCTCTTGTATTGGCTGTAATGAGTCATCCAATACTTCGTTCTCAGTTTCTTCTGGAATAAAGTGCGATATAGCTTGCTGGTTCTTAGAGCGGTCATAGAGCCACTGCGATGTATCACTCGGCGATAAAACGAATTCATCTTCCACAGAGTTTCCGTAAACATCGTCATAATCATAATCATCTGAATAACACCTGTTTCTTACATTACGATGACGCGCCATCTTGTACGACACGCGTTACAAATAACAGTGATTCCAAAACACGTCGCAGTGAGTTCATAAGAGAAAATTACCAAAATATGTCACTTTTATTGTACTTTTGACTTGCATTTGACAATATCTGCAACCACAATCTGCAACCTATGTATCATTGTGCTAACATAACAACACGTTCAAAAAATTTATTGATCAGTACAATGACAGCATAAAATTAAATATTCTAATGTTTTTGATTGATGATACACAACTGCAAAACAACAACATATTTGCAAAATCGTAATCGTTTTAATCGCAATTGCCATTGTATTTCAATAGTAGTAATAAATTTTCATAATTGTCAACATATCTTTTTTAGGAACGCAATCTTAATTTGACATTAGACTATTAGGCTGGCCATACAGTACACATACAGTCGGAGCCTCGTATCGAAATTCCGTTTCGGAATTTCGTTTCGGTAAAACATAATTTCGAAGGCTCATATTATGTTCTACGTTTAGAAATATCTTTTAAAGTTTTATTTAGTGCGAACCAAGTGCAAACTGTAAAATAAACTTGTTTATCTAAAAGCCACAGAAAACCGAAATTAAGGGTCGTATTCCAGAACTGTACTCAATGCTCAAGTCAGGATTTGAGCAGACTTGAGTATGATTTCAAGCATTGGAAATGCGACCCTAATGGCAAGGACTTGAGTATGATTTTCAGTGCTCACTGCAATACTCAAGTCAGGATTTGAGTATGGTTTCGAGTGCTTTAAACCATACTCAAATCCTGACTTGAGCAGACTTGAGTATGATTTCAAGCACTGGAAATATGACCCTAATGGCAAGGACTTGAGTATGATTTTCAGTGCTCACTGCAATACTCAAGTCCTGACTTGAACATTGAGTAGAGTTCTGAAATACGATCCTCAGGGTATTCCAGAACTCTACTCAATACTCAAATCAGGACTTAAGTATGATTCAAAGCACTAGAAATCATAGTCAAGTCTGCTCAAATCCTGACTTGAGTATGATTTAAAGTACTAGAAATCATATTAATGTCCTTGCCATTAGAGTCGTATTTCCAAATAATTGAACAATTCTGTTGTTTTCAATAAAAAAAATGGCGGGTTTTAGTAGTTACATTTTTACACGAATTAATTTTTAGTTTATGTTTATTACGTTGTGCGTTTCTTGATTATTTGTTACCATTAAGCTGATGGCTCTGAAGCCAATGCTTTAGAACAAATAATAAAAATAAACCCATCTGTCACTTTGGTTTGTGTCACTTGCTTTGTGTGTCAGTCGTGCAATAATTTACGCCTACTTTTCACCTCAATATTTTTAAAAATAAACAACGATTCTGATGCACAAAAATACACCTTGAGACGTAGAGTAGTTGTATTTTATTAGAGCAACAATTTTTTTACTGTTAAAACTACACATTCCAAGTGGGATCTTACAAAGAGGATCATCTTGAAGTTTTAGACCCTTGACCCAGTGCAACTTTGTCAACATGAAGAAAAAGGTACTTAAACTACTGATAACGTGCTTTACGTCCTAAGCAAACTATTGTAGCATCTATCGTAAATAGTTCCATAGTGGCATTTACATACATACAAGTTTAAATAATAATAATAAGTCATCTTATAAAATGTTTGTCATGATGATTCCAGGTTCTGCTGATGGGCAAAAGCGGTTCGGGTAAGACGAGCATGCGGTCTATCATATTTGCAAATTATATAGCTCGAGATACAAGGCGATTAGGAGCCACAAGTAAGGATAAAAACAATTCTTTTATTTGAGTTCAATTTAAAGCTACAAGAAACTCTTAAAGTTAGGAACAGCAATAAAAATGGTTCTTCCTCTAAGGTGCTCAAAAATGTTGACATAGTTTTCAATAAAAATCAATTTTGGAAATTTCTCATTAGTCAGAATACAGCTTGTGTCATTGCAATGACACAAGCTACAGTGTTACTACAAAACGACTATGAAATAACACTTCGAATTAAGTTATGCAGTATAAATACAACTTGCATCACTACTGAGGACTACTAGTACAAGTGTGCAGTCAGCATGTAGTCTCATCAACTAATAGCATTGTAACTGCAATGCAGTTAGTATGCCATCCTGTGTTTACTACTGTAATGGTGCGATTTTAAATATAGAAGGCACAATGTGCCTGCTATTTCCCAATATTATCATGTTTATAGCTATACTAACA